CAGTTGGCCCTGTGTTTCGGGTACCCATTTTGAAGAAGTGAAGAAATTGCTTATTCAGCTGAAGTCATACTTTAATTTCTGGGGGGCAAGAAGCACTCTCAGTGCAAGTATGTACGACAGAATTGAAGAAACAGAAACAGTAAAGCATTCAAAAACAAAGCAACTGAAGAAAAGAGCATCAGATTAATAATTCATGCTCAGAAATTGAGCTACAAGTTCAATTAAACTGTATCGGCAGCCGCCCACAAGCGGAAAATAACAGCTGCCGAAATACGTACATAAGAAAAAAAAAATAAACTGATGTACGATAAGGCAAGCTGAAGCAAAAAACAAGGCAAAAAATTCAGAAAGCGGCAAGTCTAAAGTTAAGCACATGATGAACCGCAAGATTCTGAAGACGACTGCCCGAGTTCCTATGCTTCAGCCTGAGGATCAGACTGATCAGCGTTGAGCCCCATGGTGGCCTCAGCCCCAGCAACAGAAGAAGCGGGCTTTGCACTCTGCCGAGCCTCCCTTTCCCTCTGTTCAGCTTCCAACTCCATTCTCTCAGCTTCCTCTTCGGCTTCCTCAGCCTTAAGAATTTCAGCTTCGACTGGAGTTGCATACTTCATATGAGGGTCTTCGGGATTCTGGACCCATTCAGCACATTTAGACCAGTCCAGCTTCAGTTCAGCATGAAGGCAGACTCTTCGGCATACTCTGAACCCGTTTCTGAAACCCATCTCATATTCCTCTTGGGTATAGACACGGACTTTGAGTAGAGCCTCAGCATCAACCAGCTTCTTCTGGGTCTCCTCCAAGTCTTCCTTGGATTTCTTCAGCTCATCAGCGAGCTTGGAGGAGGAACCTTTCAGCTCATTCAGCTCCTGTTGAACTTGGGAAGCCTTTGTCTGAGCTTGGGCCACTTCAACTTTTTGGGTCATCAGTTGATCCTCAGCCTCATGGAGTTTAGCTCTCTGAGCTTTGGCAGCAGCAGCAGCCTCTGAGAGTTGGACATCTTTGGCCTGGAGCAGCTCTTCAGCAGCCATTCGGCTGGCTTCAAGAGCCTCTAGACGTTGCTGCACTTCAGCTTGTGCAGCAGCTCCTTCCTGAATACGGCTCTCAACAGCAGCCTTGAATTTGGAGACGTCCACTCCCATATGCTCCTGGAGGAATTTTTCCCCTTCCATCAGTGGGGGAAAAACTTCCTTCTCCATAGCGTCGCAGAAGGTTTTGAGGGTTTCAGCAGCTCTTTTCTCATACTCCTCACCCTTCTGCTGCTTCTCTTCAGCTGCTGCTTGCTTCAGCTTAGCAAGCTTTAATTCCTCTTCAGCTACCTTCTTGTCGTGCACAGCAGCGTCTACCCTATCTTGTAGGGTATCTATCAGCTCTACAGTGAGAGTCTGATTGTGCACGAACTGAAAACAGGAAGACAAAAAAAAATATATATTTATAATAATAAAATAGAGCTGGATTTCAGAGGAAATGAAGACAAGGAAAATTACCTGCATCATCAGCAGTTGGTTAGACCTGACTGGGTCAGGAACTGATCTGCTGGATTCGCCCATCCCAGCAGTGGCCTTCAGCGACCAGATCCTTGCCCTATCTACTTCGGACATGCCAGCAAAATCGCCGAAGTAGGCTGCAGCTCCTTCTCGGTTCTGACCCCATATGAGGTCCCAGATGTGGTCTGGGATTGGAATTCGGGGGGCCGAGAAACCCATTTCTCCAGATTGCAGAGTCTGGAAGGAAGGGAAGTATGACGATGGAGCTTGATTAGCTTTGGATGGCTCAACATCATCCTTCTCAGAGGAGTCAATTACTATGACCTCCTCTTCTTCAGGGGTGAGGACGAAAGCCTCAACCTCTCTTGCGATGTTTGCCGTGAAACCCTCAGCACTGGACATCACGGCATCCTTGTTTTCGTGCTCAGCAGCACTCTCCTTAATTTCTTCTTGGACCCCTCCCTTAGATTCGGGAGTTCTCTGATCCACCTCCATCTCAGGAGGTGGCGGAGGGGTCTTTTGAGGTGATTGGGGTGGTGGCCGGGGAACCCTCGGCGATCCATTGCCTTCCTCGGGTTCCCTTATTGCAACGCCGATGGTCATCGACCTCCGCTGAAAGTCATGAGGGCCGATGATGGCCATCCTTCGGCGCCTTTTCTGAAGGGGCTGCTCGTCCATATCTGAGTCTGAAGACTCTCCTTGTATTTGGTCTTCGGGACGAACAAGAGCTTTCCCTTCTCTATGTCTGTTACTCTCTTCAGACTGTAACAGACAGGGGGGAGGAAGAATGTGAGTAAAAAAAGAAAAAAAAAAAAAAAAAAGAGAGAAAAAAAGAAAGAAAAAAAAAAAGAAAAGAAAAAAGAAAGACAAAGTTAAGTCTGAAAGCTCACCGAGGTCTTCAGCAAAGCCTCGTCTTCTTCAGCTGCTCTAGCTGCAGCTTCTGCTTCAGCAGCTCTGGAAGGCCCTTCTCCTCCTTCGCAAGCTTCGAGAACCCGTGCAACCTCTTCGGCTGTACGGGCAGCTTCAGCTTCTTCGTCCAGCAGCTGAAACCAGGGGTCTCTCTTCTTCCACCAAGGCTTCTGCCTCTGATACAGAGCAACAGCCTCAATTTGGAAGTGGAAAGAGTCTAGATGAACTTCCCTATGCCTCGGCTCAGTGATAGACGGGGCCCGTTCAGTTACAACTCGTTCTCGGTTGACACCAAGACGAGCGTAGTTAATGCCAACGTTGGTCTCGTCCCGCTCTGAAAAAGGAAAGGGGAAAGGTTAGTTCAGATAGGTTGGCACAGCATAAAAAAGCGAAGCGAGAGAAGAAAAAGAGATAGTTAAAAAGCCTCGGCCCCAGCCGAAGAAGCTTACCATCCTTAAACTTTCGGCTGAGGCCAACAGCTGCTAGCATGTTCTCTTGGAAAACGTAATGCGTATCGGGGAGCCAAGTCTCCGGGATATGCTGCATTCGGCCACTGCCCCCTCGGTTCGGCAGCTTGCCGAAGATATGTTGCTGATCAAGGTTCGGATCCGCCCCGTTATCTGCGGGGGGACCTAGACTTCCCATTTCGGGATCAGGCTCAGCGAGGTACCGGGGAGCGCTGAAGACGCAAGGGTGGCCCGGATCTGTGGGTGCCCTAACCCAAATCCATTGACCTCTCTAGTCCTTGTCTGAAGAGTCGTTTGGCCACATGGTTAGGTATTGGGGCCGGGACTCAATCCGGTACCACCCAGAACCATGGCTTCCGTGCCCACTTTGAATATTTGGCACTAGCCGATGGAGCTTTTTGAAGCAGTGCAGGTTCGGCACATACTTGAAGAACTTGCAGACCCATAAGTATGTCATCACCCTTCGGATGCTGGTGGGAGTTAACTGACATAGAGAGATGTTGTAATAGATCAGCAAGTCTCGGACGAATACGTCCAAAGGGAACCTCAGCCCGTACTGAAGCTGTCTTGTGTACACCCCCACATACCCCGGGGGTGGACGATGGATTCTATCGGATGCCGAGGGCATTCGGCACCAATACCCATCAGCTTCAAAAATGCCGTAATGCAACTCAATTTGCTCGGCAAATCGATATTGATCGGCATTCTCCACCCACCATGGGTAGGGGCGGTTCTTTATCATGGCCGAAGAAACTTCGGCATTCTCCCATTCTGAAAACCCGGGGAGGATATCCCAAAGGACAGCGGGAACTTCATCATCCCGTCCAGAAGCGCTCGGCTCCTCCGTTCTCTGAGGAGGAGCCGAGGAAAGGGGAGTCGCCCTAATCCCTTCAGCAGGGTCAGACTCTGGCCTTTGTCCATTCCAGGTCCCAATCCTGTTCCTAGGATCGGGAATCGGCCTTGCTCTTCTTGGAGCACGGGCTCTACCTCTAACTCCTCTTGCCATTGATTATTTCGAAGAAAAAAGTCGAAAAAAAAGGGGAAGGAGTTCGAATTCGAAGAAAAATAAACTGAAATCAAAGGAATTTACCTTAATCTGAAGCGAAAGTTGCCGATTTACGAGTTCGTAGTGGCAAGTCTCAATTTCTAAGCTTAATGCTCGGGGAATTTGCGAAGTTTTGATGCGGGTTCTTGGTTTCTCTCTCGAGAATTCTGGGTTTGTGTTGGTGAATAAGTGAGGAGAGATGACGCGCCTCTGTTTATATCTCCAGGAATGGGATACGAGGAGTCTGCGTTTTAATTTCTCTTAAATACTCCACTAAGTAACCGTTAAACACATGATCTTGTGATTAAACTGCCCATTATCCGTCCAACTTCCACAATCATCTGCCTTAACCGTTGTTATCTCATTAATTACGGTTTAAATTCAAATTTTTGATTAATTAAATCATTTACTTCCCTCCTTTTCTGAATTAAATCAAACCCGACCCGTCATCCTTCCAAATCGGGTCTGGGGGGCAAGTTGTTTGGGTCCAATTTAGTCCAATTGGGCCTAAGCACTAAATGATCCAATTAAAAGCCCAAGGTCAAGGTTCAACTCTCCAATTGTGCTAAAGTCAAAGGTCAGCCCACAAAGCAAGCCAATTGGGCTAAGGCCCAACCTCTCCATGTATGATGAGGTATAAAAGCCATCAATATTGATACATTCATAGATGATTATTCATTCATAGATTCATATGTTCATTCATATATTCTGATATATTCCATAAAAGCCTCAAGCAACAAACTCTCTTGCATAGTGTCCTCTTCTTACACATTGTACTGACTTTAGCATCGGAGGGGCCTTCCTCGGCAACACCCCCGAGGCTAGTTTACGTGTGTTTACTGTGCAGGAAACCTTCGGCCCAACATTACTTGGACCGAATCCAGCCTTCTCCATTTCAGCGGACCTTCGGCAAGGTCCCATTGTTTTCACCCGAAACAAAAAGCATAAGCAAAATAAAACCCGAGTAACTCTGCTTCCCCCAACACCCAAAGCATGCCACCCATTCCGAAATACAAAGTACTAAGCACTACCCAGTTAACTAGATCAAGGTTGCCAGAGATCAAATACAAAGCACTAAAAAACCCAGTCAAAGAATTAAGCCACGCTTCCCCTAAGATCAGCTTCATACACATCTTTAACACAGTTAGGAGGATCATCATGAATCAACATCAGCCCGTCCACGTCCATTGCTAGCTTCGCAAGGTAGTGTGCTACATTGTTTACATCTCTGGACACATAGCTGAATTCAAACCTGCACCCTTTGTTGAGCAGCTCCTGCATATCCTTGAGGATGACAGCAAGCTCATGAGTTCCCTGCTTTCCCACATCCTCGATTGTAGTCTTGAGTGACTTAGCATCTGTTTCCAGCACTGCTTCCTTGAACCCAGCATCCACCACCATTTGCATCCCACCTCTCATTGCCAACAGCTCAGCCTCAGCCGGATTCCGTTCCTTGGTCTACCATCATTTCCCAAAGAACCAAGTCCCATCCGAGCCTCGAACCACTCCTCCAGCTGCAGCTTTATTATCATTTCGCCACGCACCATTTGTGTTAACTTTGACAGATTGGCCCAAAGGCCTCTCCTATCTTGCCTTCACTTGTCGGTTTGGAGGAGCATTAACCTATCCCTGAAATGTGTTAATGGTAGCCACCAAATCCACCATATATCTATTAAACATAATAATGGGGTGAGTCATGGCTAGCTGGAAAACCACATTATCTCTTGCTCTCCAAATATGCCAAAGTGCAACCGCAAACATAGTTTTCTAACTCTAAGGACCCTTACTCTGAAGTTATTCCTAACTCTAAGCGCAAAAGTCATTTACGCCTTCATGGAAAAAGTGTAAGAATGACAGATTTGAAGAAAAAAGATAAAAAGTCGGATTTCATATTCCCAGAGGAATTCATAACAAGTATGCAAGAACAAATAACACAACTTGTACCAGGCCTTACAACCGCTGTTTTGACTCAACTTCGTGAAGCTAACCCTAAGATTAATCTTGTCATTCCTGATTTTGTGATGCCATCAGCTCCAAACGATGCATCCAGTGCACCACGTCAGTTCATTGATCAAAACGAAAAATCTTCTAAATCTGGTGGAACAATTAATCAGGTATCAAAAATTACTTTCCTATGCTTCTAAGTTGCTTGTGTTGATGCTGCCTTGGTTCGCATATGGTTGTTGGTCATAGGCTATCACCCAACCTTGTACAACCTTTTCTCTCTGAGCACGTGGCTGAATTTTTCTTCATCCTTTTCTGGCTGTGTATCTTTGCTTGGCTAACTGTTGCTTCGTCAAACAAAGACATCTTTTCTAAGATCAAAACCCATTTCCTTCAATTTATTTCTGAACATGATTGCTTGGTATTTTGTCGCTGTCACTCAATTTCAGATTGCTTGGTTCGCATTTAGTTGTTGGTCATAGGCTATCACCCTTGTTGGTCTGAGCATTAATTTGTTTTGTCTTCATGTGTTACTTCCTTGTGTGTTGCTTCATTGTGTGTTGCTACCCTCTCCCCTGCTACTACTGTTGTAGTAGTTGTTTTTCTGTCCCCTCTTGTGCCACTTGGTCCATTACATGTATATATAGCTTCACCGGTGTCCTGCATGCCACCATGCATAAACCTCCCCACTTATCAAACTTTATCATGTGTACATTAACACATTTATTACTGTCTTTTATATTTTATGTGTAGGAGCATGGCGAGCTAGATGGAGATCAAGTACGGTGACTATTGTATGTCAATCAACAAATGATGAATAAATGTTGTTGGCAACTCAATTTTTATTAAGCACGAGCTTTTGAAGATTTGGAATTTTCAGCTTATATATATATATATATATATATATATAATTAATATATTTTGTGCTAGTATTTTGCACTGTTGTTACATTTTAATTTTTGAACGCGGCACGGTTGTATATGATGTTCTACTCTGTAATTCATTAGTAGACATATATATTTATTACTACGTAGTGTGGAAACAATATTTTGTTGTGTAACGTACGTTATTAGTACGATACATTATTATTAATTTAATGATAAAAAATTTATTTTTATTTGCACTAACAAATTAATAATTAACAACTAACTAACAATATATATATATAAATATATATATACATACATATATATATATAAATATATATATACATACATATATATATATATATATATGTGCAGCCGTTGCATTAGGTCTCATTATTATGATATTTATTAGATAGTAATCTAAGACAACGGATAGATGATGCTGTTGCATTAGGTATTGCTCTAAAGCGACGGATTATATTGGCCGTTGCATTAGGTATTAAAAGCCGTTGCATTAGGTCTAAGGCAACGCCAGCGGATGCAACGGTACGGGGCCGTTGCAGTAGGCCTAACACAACGGTTTTTGGTGCCTAATGCAACGGATTTAGGGGTTGCATTAGATAAAAAATGTAGTAGTGAAATAAGATGCATTTGGCAACTAGCATTGACCCCTTGAAATCTTCAAATCTTCAACAACCTTCATCTTGGCTCGTCTTCATAGAAACGCCGTCTTGAGACATCTTTGCCAAAATAAAATTACTAGCTACTACGACTAGGATTAATCTAAATATTAAGGTACAAAAATACGCAACGGTACGCAGACCGTATTTAGCTTTACAAAAATAAATAACGGATCGCAGTCCGTATTTACTGTCCTAATCGGGCCCCACTAGTTGCCATTTTCACGAAACCTGTGAAACAATATATCTTCCATTAATCCATTCACTATATGTGAATGGCCCATGCATTTTACAACGAAAAACAAGTAACAATGCGCGCACGAATTAGTAACTAACTTAGGTGGTTAATCTAATTAATGCGCCTAATTAAAACTAGTCAAAGTTGTTTAACATTTTATGTGATTAAGACGCAATTATTTCATGCAATTAACGAAGCTCCCACTAAATTCCTCATCCAACTTAATTGATCCAATTAATTAAGCAGTTAACCCAAATTTTGTCAAAATTAAAATTTTGCAAAAGTCGGAAAAACCAAGGCCTAGCCTCGCTAAAATAATTAAATAAAATTAAAATGGCAAAATTTTGCAAAAACCGATAGCCCAATTCAAGCAAGAAATCGACCCACCCAAAAATTCGTGGGATGCGCACCATGGCTGCCTAGCAGCACTTGGGAGATGCGGCTTCCTGTGCTGGGTGCTGGCATGCATGCCCAGCAACGCATGCCACGCTTGCTGGCACCAGCAACTTGCTGCGCATGCTACGCATGCTGGCTGCTTGTTGGCGTTGGTAGGCGAGTGGCTGGCTTGCTGAGGCTTGTTGCCTCGCTGCCCAGCAGCACGCACAAGCATGGCCAGTAGCCATCCACCACGCATCACGCACATAGCAGCGCACATGAGCCCAGCCACACAGCAGCAACAACAATTTAGGTGGAGCACCCTTGTGCGCACCTAAGGTAGCCACATGTGGGCTGGGTGAGCAGCCCGGCTAGCCTTGGTGGTGCTTGGGTGTTTTGCCTCGATTTGCGTACTTTTTCTCGGGATTTTATTCCCGTTATACGTGTGACATAAAATTAATTCTAAATTTATTTTAGAATCAATTTAGGGCAAAAATGAAATTAAAACAAGTCCAACTTAATTAAATTTAATTTTTAATGGTGCACAAGCCTAAATAATTCAAGAACCATTCTTAAAACAATTTAGGTCTTTCTTTATGCTACAAAAATTGAAAGGGCTACACTCATAATTAATTTAATCAAATGTAAATTAATAATGAGATTTGACAAAATTAAAGGGGGTGGAAAATTAAACCCTTTCACCCAATGAGAAATTTCCCAATAATAACTTGTGTAAAATTTAAAAAATTACATCTTCCAATATGAAGATTAATCAAAATTCAATCACAAGTTTTGAATTTTAAGGACTTTAATCAACACAAAAATGATTAAATCCAAAATTAGTTTAACATGGAATTTAGCAATCAAAGTTCCAACCAAATAAACAATTAAAGATTGGATCTTTGAAATTTTAGGGGCTTAAAAATTGCAAGTTCACCATAAACATTCACATTTGAAGCAACTTATTTGCAACAATGTGAAAAATTCAAGTTTATGTGAAAAATGAACACACCAAATTAAGCACCAATTATGACTTCATAAACATGCTTAATGAGGTTTATAATTGCAGTAGATTAGGGATGCAACCATACCTTTAATCTACCTTCAACATGCAATAATTAATCAAGGTTAAAAGATTTAAAAAATTTCGTCAAAAACGAAAAAACCCTCGAAAAACATATTTCTGGGTGGATTTTGGCTTCTAAACAACCCTAAAAGGATCAGAAATTATTTAGAACATCGATTCCACCCAAAAATCACTATTTTTGAGTCGAAATCTGGGTTCGTCAGCCATAATAGAAAAAATACGAGATTGAAACTAATTAAAACGAGCTTCTAATCCAATTAGAAAGCAAAACCAGAAATTTAAATCCATTTTAAATCACCTTAATTAATTATTATTCACAATAATTAAAGTGAGCGCGGCTCCGATACCGCTGTTGGGTTTTGTAGAGTCCGACTTTTCGCGGAAGAAGAAACCCACCCAAGACCCGCACACTAATTAAAGCGACTAAGCATGCAATCATAAATTAAACAACAATTAAGAGAGAGAAGGAAATGACATTCATACCCTTGGCGCGTGCTTCGCTCGAATCCCGAGCTCTTACTTCAAAAACTTGAACCCCCACAAATGCGAAGGTCTCCGACGGCTCGTACCCACGAACCCGACCCGAACGGTCCAAGCCCCAAAAGTTAGTCGGGACCCGACCAATAAAAACTAGAGTTTTACGAACTTAAGGTTTTCTCACTTTTCTAAGGAGATGCCTTTTTAGTTCTACTCTAGTGTTTTTCCCAAATCCCAAAACCTTGGTATTTATAGGGAAATGAACCTTGATTTCCCATTCACAATCAATGTGGGAGATTTGCAATTTTCCCATTTTATTGTAATCAAAACAAAAATAAAATTGCAATTCAATCAATAAGTTACAAGTGGCACAAGGAGGATGAGAGATTAGGTGATGATCATTTCCAGGGGGGGGACCATAGCCTTGCTCCCCAAGGCAAAGCTCCAACCCTTGGTCCCCACAAGCAAAGCCGGCCCTCCCCTCCAAGTGGCTGGCTGGCAGCCTGCCTTAGCTGCCAAGGCTGCCAGCTGGCATCTAGCACCAAGGCTGGGCAGCCTGGCCAGCCAGGCAGCACACACGCACACAGCCAGCACAAGGCCAGCCAGCACGCAATGCCTCGTTGCTGCTTGGTGCGTGGTGTTGGGCGCTGCTATGCGAGGTACACGCACAACCCAGCATGCCTAGCACGCTTCTAGCTGGTGCGTTGTGCGAAGCACTAGGCTGCTGCCATGCGAGGCCCAGCACGCATGGT